CAGATTGAGAACTATGCTAAGCGAGTGGTTTGGAGTCGTGAAAGGTGACAAGGAAGAGTTCCAAAGGATCTTACTGATTTCGGAACCATCATTCTGGAATGAGAATAACAAACCTGTTGGAGGGAGATCAAGAACAGAAGCAGGAACACAGCTTCGAGGTAAGCACCGATGGTGCTGGCTTAAAAGGCTGCAAGTTTCCATTCCCAAAACAGAAGGAGCCAAGATGATCTTAGTGATGATCACAGTGGGGGAGTGGTGTTAACCCTGTCCATTTATTTAGTAGTCATGTGGCTGGGCGAGACTGTAAGAAGAGGGTGTGTGTTAGCCTATCCATAAGGGGACTGCCTAATCTCACCAATCCACAAGGCAACTGGCTACTCTCAGTATTAAAGTGAGCGAATCTAGCAGCAGAATTATTGGTATACCTTCCCCACCAGCAAAGGAAGAAGCAAGAGAATGTAGTGTATCCTCTGGAGCCAGAGATTCTTTCACTGGCCAGACCAAGGCCTACAGGAGCGGCAGTCAGAGCAGAAACCAGAGACTTGAGACGGAGTGGACCTTGGACCAAGTTGCCGTGGAATCGGAGCCAAGAGCCTTTTGTCCAAGTCTGTGGGACCACTAGAGGACATGGGTGGGCACGGGAGAGCCACAACCGGCAGGACTGAGAGCTTTGGAACATGGGCCTAAAGGCGTGAGGCTGTGACGCCTGCAAGCACATTTCAGAAGGCGTCCTGATGGGATTCTGCTCCTAACTTGGATTACAGCCTTTTGACTTTCCCAGCATGGTTCTGTGTGGTCTGTGAACTACTGCATCAGATTTTAGAACCAGTAAAGCAAAGACAGATGTTGGGATGAGTAAAAAGAGGTGTGGGAGCGTGGGAGACATGTCTGACCTCACGGGAATTGGTTTTGTGGTGTTGATGCTGTTGACGGGAACAGTTCTCCTTTGTGAAGCTGGTAACGGTCAGATATGGCCGCTCCCATGCAGCCCTTGCTCTTTCTACAGGGGGAACAAAACACTTTAGGACAGAAACCATTTCCCAAAGAGGAACAATGGAGGAGAAAACAGGGAAGATGTATTGGAGCTACAGGTGGGTGGCTAGCTGAATACAGGCCAGAGGAGGTTTTAAACTTTCTAGGAAGCTCCTGGAATTTTTTTTTTTTTTGTCATCACAGTCCTCTAGCGCCTGGCCACCAAGATGACCATCCTGCTGTTGCTGCCGCGCTGTGGAGTTCACCCTGACCCACGGCGACCTGCGATGTGCACAACTTTTCTCCTCAGGGCTTCAAGGCCGTGACTTTCAGGAAGCAGAATGCCAAGCTCTCCTTCCAAAGGGCTCCCACCTAGATCTAACCTTTCAGTTAGCTCTCCAGCATTTTACCATGTATGCCACCCAGGGACTCCTCAAAATATCATCCTACGATGGAGAAAACAAGATATGACTAATTGTTTAGTGCCATCGAGTCGGAACTGACCCATAGCTGACCCTCCAGTGGGTTTTCAGAGGCAATTGATACAACAGGAGATTTCCCATCCTTAACCTGCAGAGCAGCTAGCAGGACTCGAACTGTGTGCCTATGGGATTGAAGTGCAGCTTCCTGCCACTAAACCACCAGAGCTCCCTAAGATACGACTACGTGTCAAATTATGAGATGGGTTGCTCAGTTAGGAAGATAGTGAAAAGGCCAGGGAAAAGATAAATGTGGAAAAAAAACAAAACCCAACTAAAAACCCAAAGCAATAATTTCAAGAAATTAACAAAAACTAAACAAGCAATCAATAAACAAATACTTTAAGGGCTTGACTGGCAGAAGAGCACAATGAAAAGTACCAGGCACTTGGGAGCCAGGCTCCTGTAGGCCAAATTCTAGCTCTACCAGACATCAGTCCTGTGTGGCCCTGAGCAAACGACTTCCTTTTCCTATGCCTGCACTTCCTCATTTGTAAAGCAGAGATAATTACAGTACCTGAAACTCAACAGGTTGTCTGATTAAATGAAGGCAAATGTTAAAACATTTGCCATGAACTAAGAACTAAGTACAACTTAAGTATGTGTTCTTAATGTCAATGCTGGTCTGGATTGCCAAAAATCGTCCTCACCTTTTTAACGCCTTTACCTCGGGAGGCTGGAGACTCACGAGTGAATTCTAACACCACTATTTATATTCACCGCATGACTTGGGAAAGTTCTCGACCCAGAATTTCAGTTTCTCTTCTGTAAACATTTCCTACAATACTACGTAAAAGTGTATGTAAAGCCCTTAAATTGTACCCTTGACGTACAGTTAAATGTTTAATAAGTGGTACCTATTATGAACAATATCCCCATTTTATTGCGCATTGTCCCTGTTCTATACTGAATCAAGATAGAGATGCCCTCTTTGAGTCTTTTTTTGACAAAATGAGTCAAAATTTTCAATGAGCCACTTGACCTACACATATTCCACTTCCAGTCATTTATCAATTCTAGGAAAAGAATCAAACATACATATTCAATGAAGCTTTTTAAAGAAAATGAAAATAACCTAAATGTTACTCAATGACTGAGCAAACGAAGTATAGTCTTCCTAATGAGATATTCTGTTAAAAGAATAAAACAGACCTACAAATACTAACACTGAAAGATGTTTATAATATATACTACACAAAACAGAGTAGCAGCAGGATCATTTCTGTATTAAAAAATATCTATATAATTACACATGTATAAAGAAAGTCCTAAAAAAAACTGTTGTTGTTGTTGTTGTTGCCGCCATCGACTTGAGTACGACTCGGAGCGACCCAGTGAAGAGCATATCTGAACTCTGTCCTGTCCTGTGCCGGCCTCACCATCTCTGACATACTCAAGGCTGCTGTCACTGCATCAAACCGTCTCATTCAGGTTCCTCTCTTTCTTTGACCCTCCACCTTTCCAAGCATCATGTCCCTTTTCAAGGAAAAAACCTCTCCTAGCAACATGCCCAAAGTAAGAGAGATGAAGCTTTGCCATCCTTGGATGACAGAAAAACAGGGTACACCGAGTTTACCAGCAGTCTCCTCTGAAGAGCAACACTGAAAGGGAAGAAGCCTTTTGCTTTCATCACCATGCTACATGGTGTGAGAAATAAAAATCTAGAGAAAAGGGATGCCAACCTACGGCTCACGAAAACACAGTAACTCTCTCCGAATACTTTGCCTAAATTATCATCCTATCTCTTAAATCACTGTCATGCTTTCAGGAAAAACATGGTCCAATAATATCACTGCTGCTGCCTCGGTGCCTCTGATTCCAGACCTCCTGGGCGACAGAGCGAAACCCTGCCAGACCCTGCGACACACCCTCACAGTCGTGGCTGTGTGTAAGCCAGTCCTGCAGTCGCTGTGAATCCATCTCAGTGAGTCTTCCTCGCAGTCCCTGACTTTCCATCTTTCTAAGGATAATGTTCTTTTCCAAGGACTGGCACGTCCCAAAGTACCTGAGACGATGTCTCGCCGTCCTCACCTGTAAGGAGCACGCTGGCTGCGCCTCCTCTATTCCAACAATATTAGCGTATCTTCACTGTGATGAACTTAATCTCTGGAAATTTTATATTCAGCTCCTGAATTATGCATTTGAAGTAGGTGCACAGGACGGATAACAGCAGAATAGGATGCTAGCATCTAGCTGGACAGTAGGGTTTTGTGCGTTTAAACATTTTTTTTATTATTATATACTGGTTTGCTTACAAAGTTTGTATACAGTGTGTTTCACACTATCCTTCATTCACACTGTGTTTCATTCAATCATTCCTGTTGATTACGCTTTATAAATCACCGATGACCACCTATGCCCACCATTACCCTGTCTTTCTAGATGCCTGCTCGACCTTTTCCATTTCCTTTACACCCTTCTCTCCATCTACAAAACTGCAGGACCCTATCATTCCTCCCTGTCCAGACTCACCCCTCTGCTCCCCTCTCACCCTCCTTGGAGCTTCATACATGTTTAACTAGCTCTCTTTCTATCCTGGGTAGCAGTTTTTCCATTCTGTGGATTCAGAGGGCTCTCAAGTCCTAGTGCCATGCCAAACAGGACTATTAGTGGAAAGCATAAAGAATTCTCTATCACTTCAAAGACCCCTAAAAAAGTGACTATCTTCCCATATGCACAAATACACTAGGAAAACCCTTTGTGTGGCTTCTATTTCTAGGCTGCTTCTTCCACACTGAGACTAGTTTCAGTCTCATTGCTGAATTCGCTATTGAGTTAAATCAGTTCCAACAGTTTAACAGTCACAGCGCCTATTCACCATTCAGAAAGCGGTCTCCAGAAAAGGCTTAAGGACACAGTCAAGGAGAATCAGAGCACTTAAGAGCAGCTTTGCTTTGAGAAATCCATGACACTCTTCACTGCCATAAGATGATCTTCTCTACAGAAGAAATGTGTTTTAAACCAGTGAGGAAAATTCTAAATAGATTTATTCCACAGGTACAGGTGTCATTCAATAAGTAGGAAAAAGTAACCATGTGACCAGAGAGTTTTAAAAATACAGGCTTCAGAGATTTTATATATATATATATATATATGTGTGTGTGTATATATATATA